CGAACCTTCTGCTTCTTCGCCGGGACTTTACCCTCCTCCTTCCCCGAGACCTCCTCCTGGGAGCCGGGCAGGGCAATGCAGGGACTGGTGGACGAGTCGGGGGGCTCCTGCAAAAGCAGGTCCATGGAGGAAGGGAGGGAAGAGGCTGCTGGGGACAAGGAAGGAGACACCAGGTCCAAAACTGTTGTTTTCAAATACTTAAATATATTTTTTCAAACCACTTTCATACTACTTCCAACCTTAGACCTAGGCAGTGAGTACCATCTTGATTCTCTTTGAATTTTTGTTGTTATTGTTGTTACTGGGGATGGAACTCAGGACCTTGCACTTGCAAGGCAGGCGCAGTGCCGCTGAGCTAATTCCCCATCCCAATTCTACTTGATTTTGAGACAAGGTCTAGCTAAATTACTGTTTGTCCAGGCTGTGCTCAAACTTGGGACCCTCCTGCCTTCCTGGGTGCTGAGATTTCAGGCTTGTACCCACCATACTTGGCTCAACTTATTTTCCCCCACGGGTTTTTTGAGACAGGGTTTTACTATGCAGGTTGACCTCAAACCCAGGATGTAGACCAAGCCGGCCTCAAACTTGCAGTGATCCTCTTGCCTCTGTCTCCCAACTGCTGGAATTACAGGCTTGCCCCACCAAGCCCGGCTCCTTTTTTTCTCATCCAACCCTGAACACTGCCAACTTCTGTAGAATAACAACCAAAGTGTTTTAACCACCCTCATTTTACAAGCGTTTCATTTTATTTTTTGGTGCGTGCCAGGCAACCTCAGCCTCAGCATTACTAGCACTCATTTGCACGGCGAATTGTTCTCTGTTCCAACTCCAGTTACACTCTGTAGTCACTGAATAAATGGACAGGGATTACGACAGCAAAAAAGTCTACCATAGGGCCGGGGATTTAGCTCAGTGGTGCCATGCCTGCCTCTCAAGTGCAAGGTCCTGAGTTTGATCCCTGGTAACAGGGGAAAAAAGTCTACCACATCCTGCTTCTTGCCAGTAATCTAAAAAGCAAATTAGCTGAGCACTAGAAGTGAGACAAATTAAATAATGACAGCTGAGCCTAGTGGCACAGCCCTGTAATCCCAGCACTGAGATGCTGAGCCAGGAGGATCACAAGTTCTAGTCCAGCCTGGGCAACTTAAGGTCTTAATCAAAAAAGGGCTGGGGGGTAGCTCAGTGTGCAGACCTGGGTTCAATTCCCATCACCGAAAACCAGAATAAGACAAAACTCAACCCTGAGACTCACTGAAGTAGCTGAGCCAGGATCTGAAACCAAGCCAAGTCAAAGCTTTGGCCTGGGTTTGCGGAGATCTGGCCCCTGGCCCTTCCCAAGTCACTGCCCACAGCTCAGCGCTGTTTGCTACACTTGAGGTGGCAGAGACAAGTTTAGAAAAGCAAGGCAGGGTGTGGTGGTGCACACCTACACTCCCAGCACTCGGGAGGCTGAGGCAGAAGGAGCATCCCCCAGTTCCAGGTCAGCCTGGGCTACATATTGGGTTCAAGGCCAGCCTGACAGAGCAAGACCCCACCTCAAAACAATAAAGTAAATTTTTAAAAAACGTAGAAGCATATATGTCTATAAAATGCTGAAATACACCACACGTTGTGCGGCCAGGGTGGGTTTGGAATCCGAGCGCGGGTGTGGACTCCGGGTCGGCTGGCTGTCACCCTGAGGCTGGGCCCAGCAGACCCGGGAGCGCAGCACCCCGCTAGGTTGGGGTCGGTGATCGGAGGGTCCTTACCGGCGTCGGCGGGGGGCACTGGGGCGGGCGGCGGCGGGCAGCTGTGGGCGTCTGGGGGCCGGGGCGCGGGCTTCCCGTTGTCGGCCGCCTCGGAGTCGGAGAGGCCCGGGGCGCAGGCCGCGGCCGCACTCATAGCGAAGGGGAGAGAGGTCTCAGTGCCGAGGCCGGAGCTGGGCCGGAGCTGGGCCGGGCGCCCGCCCGTGCGGAGTTTATAGGCGTTCGGCGCCCCGCCCTCCACACGCCCCGGGCTTCCCGGGACCCAGTCTGCCGCGGGCACCGCGCATTGTCATGCAGAGACCTGGGCGACGCGGCCAGGCGGGCGGGCCGAGCCCAGCGGGGTCCGAGGCTTCTCCCCTCCCCGTACCCCAGGGGAGCCCCGTCCGTCCCCGGAACTGCCTGGCTTTGGGGCGCAAGGCCCAGGGCCGGGGGCCCTCTGACCGGTTAGGGATTTGCAATTCGACCTCAGACCTTCTTTTTTTTTTTGTATGGGGCTCGAACTCGGGGCCTTGAGCTTGTGAGGCAGGCGGCAGCACCACGGAGCTACATTCCGGCCAGTTCCTTCTTGTTTTTCAGAGTTGAGAAAGGCGAAGCCAGGCTTTCCACCGGCACTCCGGCGTTACCTCGGCGGCCGGCCCACCTGCCGACCATGAGAAGCTAGTAATTAGGGTGTGTTTGTTTCTTTCTTGCTTGTTTGTTGTAGGGTTTTTTTGTAGTTGGTTTTTATATACAAATTACTACATAGGCTCTTGCTCATCTACTTTAGTAAATCTTTCTCAGAGACGTCAGTTGTTTCCTTCCCGTACTGGAGACTGAACCAGGGCTTATACATAGAGCTGCACCCCCCAGACCTTTTTATTTTTCATTTTGAGTCAGGGTCTTGCTAGGTTGCCCAGGCTGGCCTAGAACTGGTGATCCTCCTGCCTCAGCCTCTTGAGAAGCTGGATTACAGGTGCCTGTGTGCCGCTCACTGTACCTGGCTACATCTCAGTGTGTTTATAAGTAGGGACAAAAATACCTTCTCTGTGTTGGTGTAGAAATTAAACAAGAGAAAATGCTAACTACTCAATACTTACGCTCTTAATGAAAATTCTGTCAGGACCCTGTGTTCCAAACGACTAAGTTTAGCCAGGGATTTAGCTCAGTGGTTCTGGTGCCTGCCTCGAAAGCGAAAGGTCCCGAGTTCAATCCCTGGTACCAAAATAAAACAAAACAAAACAACAACAAAACAAACAAACCACTATGTTTGTTTATTTATTTATTCATTTTTATGTGAAACAAGTGAACGATATAGAAAAAAGCATCTAGACAGGAAGTTTGAGGCCAGCCTAGGCAAACTGAGGAGACCCTGTCTCAAAATAAAACCAATGGGCTGGGGATTTAGTTCAGTGGCACAGTGCCTGCCTCGAAAGCGCAAGGTCCTGAGTTTGATCCCTGGTACCAGAAAAAAATAAAATAAAATAAAAACCAGAAAGCTCTTCAGTAGACCAAAAGGAAAAAAAGAGAAGTACCAGTTTCTTATTTCTTCTGGGACCTACCTAGATGTAGAACAAGGAGATTTATTGACCTCAGAGCCAGGCTGCAGGAAAGAGGAAAGTAAGGCAAAGGTCCCAACCTTCACCTCGGGCACTTGCTGTGCCTGTCAGCCTCAGCCCCACTTCAGTTTTTAGGGATGAGATGTATATTTATCAAAGAAAGACACATTTTTAGGCTTGGATTCCAGAACTAATACATTCAAGGACAAAGAGAACAATCTATACATTTCCATTTCCCCCATCCCAAATCCACTGCTCAAGAGACCTAAGATTTACCGGCTTTTCCAATCTCCCACCCTAAAGGAAACTGTACGAATCCTGATTATCTGTTTTTCCAAGCGTTACCCTTGCCCACGGTCCCCTCCTGCTGCATGAGCTGATTTGTGTTTACAAAGCAAGCGAAGGTGGTGTGGAGTGTGTTTCGACCCCATCTCACAAAGCGACAGCCAAGGGGCTGGAGACGGAGCTCAGAGAGAGGAGAGGCCCTGGGTTCCAACGCCAGGACTAGGAGCAACAAATCAGTGAATAAATAAAAAGGAAAACTCTCCACTGCCAGACTTGCTCAGCGGTCTGGCAAATGGGGGCTGTCAGGCTACCAACACCTGCGGCCCCCGAGGCCTGGGGTGGCAGGCCCGAGAGGCTTTTTGCATGAGTCTGGGATGCGTGTGCCCCGCCCTGTCCCTTTGTGTGTGTGTGTGTGTGGGGGGCATCCCTGGGGTGAAGGATGGGAGCTGGGGGCAGGTAGCGGAGGGAGGCCTGACCACATTTCTTGGCCCACCTGGGCTACCTGGCCAGACCCTGCCTCAAAATAAAAGAAAAAGAAAGGACCAGGAAGGCCGTGGGGTGCTGAGTGGTGACCAGCACAATGACAGAGGACGGAGGACTTCGGGTGGCAGAGAGGAAACCTTCGGGGAACAGGCGAGGGATCCTGAACATGCACATTTGTGACGCGGACTCTGCAGGGCTGTTGCTGTCCGCCTTCCCAGCCTCTGACTCCCAAGGTGGCGGATCTGGGCACCTGGCACCCCATGACCCACTGCCAGACAGAATTAATCCAAGGACACCCAGAGGAATGTACCCCAGTTCCTTCAGCGTCTGGCTCTGCTGCCCTGGTGATGCATGTGGTCCTGACTTTTCCTGCTGATCTACAAAATCCAAAAACCTCATTAAAAATACAGTAACTAAGAACAAAGTGCTGCTGTTTGAAGAAGCTCCCGGGAGAGGATGAGATGGGCAGTGACAGTGAGCTCCTGGCTGTTGCAGGTCACCCACTGGCCAGGCCTGCTACTCCCGCCGAATATGCGCAAGTCTGACCCTGTGGGCTGAGTAAATAAATAAGCACGGAGGGGACCTCAGACAGGTCCAGAGGGATTGGGGTCCAGAGGGCTGAGAAGCAAAGAAGTGGCCATGAATAGTAGAAAGAGCCTGAGCTTGGAATTAACTTTTTTTTTGGTACCGGGGATCAAACTCGGGTCCTTGTGCTTGCCCAGCAGGCAGCGAAACCACTGAGCTAAATCCCCGGCCCAGGCCAAAATATTAAAGCCGTCTTTGTTGAGTAAGTCGTCAAAATGTACCTGGGATTCAGCTGCTTCTTTTTTCCCACTTGCTTCCCCCTTTCCTAGTGCTGAGTGAGTTTGTGATCATCACACAACCATGGCTTGATAAAACAGCGGAATTTCAGGAAAGGAGGCCATGGTGCCGCAGGCCTGTAATCCTATCACTCAGGAGACTGAGGTGGGAAGATTACCATGAGTTCGAGGCCAGCCTGGGCTACATAGTGAGACCCTACCTTAAAAAAAAAAAAGAGAATTTCAAGAACTGACTGTGTTCCTAGCTGGGCATGTGACCCTTGCTATCCCAGCACCTGGGGTCTGAGGCAGAAGGACTGCAAACTTGAGTCCAGCCTGGGCAATGTAGCCAGACCCTTTTTCAAATAAGTAAATAAAAGCTGGGTGTGGTGGTGCATGCCCACGACCCCAGCACTGGGGAGGCTGAGTCAGGAGGATCACTGTGAGACCCCATGGAGAAGGTAAAAAGTTGTAAAGGAGGTTAGTGGCTGTGCTGATCAAATTTCTAGAGTAAGAATGAAATAGGAAGAAGGTGGGCATGGTGGTGCATGGCTGTAATCCCAGCACTCGGAGGGTGAGGCAGGAGGGTTGCCAGGTCAAGCCCACAAGGGACAATTTAGCAAGAGCTGTCTCAAAACTTAAAAATAAAATAGAAGGGCGGGGGGATGGAGTTCAGTGGGAGGACCCTGGATTCACTCTCTTGTAACACACACACACATAAACACACACACACACACACACACACACACAGGAACGCACATTAACCTAAAAAAGACAAAACCTGCGACAGGAGAAATGAGAAAGACCCTGGCTCAGAGGTTCCTGGCTTGTTCCAGGTGCAGTGAGAGGGCCAGCTTCAGCATCGTGAGGGGAACATAGGAGATAAAGGGGTGCACTACCTCCACTTGCTGTGGGAATTGTTATCCTTCTTATTTGGGGTGCTGGGCTTTACCCTGCTCCACTCTGGGGACTCTTCTACCCGAGACGCTCTGCCCACTGCTGTGTGAGACCCGCTGAAGGGACAGACTGGGCTCCTTAGCACCTGGCACTGTGCCCACAGCGGCAGGGCAGGGCCTCCCCACACCTGAGTAATGTCGAGTCCTGCACCTATCAAGCTGATCTGTAAATACTAAGCTGACTTCAGTGTGATGCAGAAGACCTGAGATTACACAGCAAGGGTGTCGGGTCCTCAGGGTGAAGCCCTGGTCTATGCTATAAGAGGCTCCCATCCCTGCCACTGCAGAACAAGGCGGAAAGGATAACCACAGTGCTCTCTGCCCCACCCCTAAACTGACAATTCATGACCATGCTCTGGCAGTCTTTCCTTTATTTTATTTATTTATTTAATTCATTTATTTATTTATTTTTGAGACAGAGTCTCTCTGTGGAGTTCAGGCTGGCCTCAAACTCAACAGGATCCTTCTGTCTCAGCCTCCTCAATGCAGAGATTACAGGTGTGTGCTATGCCTGGTTCCTCTGCCTTTAATCATTTTTTTTTTATTCCTGGCTGAGCTAAGGAGCCCTAGGCTCTGAGGCACCTCACACACAGCCCAGCACTTTCTGAAGTAGTCCCTGCCCCAGCAATCCCAGCTTCCCCTGAGACGTGGACATCCTGGGGCAGGGCACCTGCTGAATCTGAATCTTTCATCTTTTATGAATTTCTGATTTTTAGCTGGGCATAGTGGTGCACTCCTATAATCCCAGCTACTTAGTGGACTGAGGCAGGAGGATCTCAAGTTTGAAGCCAACCTGGCCTATCTGGTGAGACCTTGTCTCAAAAAAAAGTAAATAAAATAAAATATACATAAAACAAAACAAGCTGAGGATGTTTGTGAGGTCTTGGGTTCCATTTTCAGTACCGAAAAGCGTTGATCCTTACATTGCAAAAGTACTGTTCTTCAATATATTCTTGGCAGCAGGGATAAAAATCATGATTTATTTATTAAACTAATGAATCAGTTCTGTGAGGCAAAGCACCAACATTCAGAAAACTGTTGAGCTGCAAGGTCTGCCAACAACAGAAGAAAGAATTCAACTTCACAAGGTCTTCCAAAAAGACTT